AATATTTGCAGATTAAAGTTGGCTGGAAAGCATGGTCCATGGATGGAGTTCCACATCCGAGATGTGCGAGAAGTGAAACTGTTAACATAGAACTTAGGCTACATCTAGCCTTCTCAATTGAAACAATTACCATGAATATATATATATATATATATATATATATATATATATATATATATATATATATATATATATATATATATATATATATATATCAGAAATACAGAGAAGCAGCCTTAAGGCGGTGGGCAAATGACTGAACCCGAATCGACTGATCAGGATAAATAATATTGCTGATTAATCTTTGGCTTTTATCAAAGAGCTCATGGTAAATAGCAGGAAGACCGGAACATATTTGGCAACAATATCATAAACATGGACGAATGGTAGACTTATAAATATATAAGATCAATTCTGGAGAGAAAAAATTGTCTCGCACTACACAGGTTACCGCCTTTCTTAGCAGCTGACCTAGGAAAGAATTCCATATATTATTTCCACTTCATGTTAGGGGACATTTTTAGGATCAGAAGGCGCAGCGAAGCATGTTCCTCAAGGTTAGCTTCAGTCATATTGATGGAAAGTAGAGAAGGGTCTCTCTACTCGAGAGATGTTTAGTTTATGGCACGTTAAAATTAACAAGTCATCTTTTGTGTCATTTAACGACGGACTTGAATTCGTTTTGAACAGCAACTTCTATTTTGAGATTGTTGGATTGATCACTATTGAAGTAGGAGTATATGGTTGCGCCGACAGCATAGATAGCAAGTTGATGTCATCGGGAAGGTCATTAATGAATATTAAAGAGAAATTAGACCCAAAGATGGAACACTTGAGGATATCTGCGTTAGTACGACATGATCTAGACGAGTTGTCGATCAGTATAACTTTCATATCAGGAACAATAATAGTGTTGATTCTTTTTTTGATCTTATCAAGGAGCTAAAGTTAAATAGAAGAGATACAGGAACATATGTAGCAGCAATATTATATGCTTGGACGGTAGACATATGAAAAATAATATATATATTTTTTTTTCCTTTCATTTCGTTGTTGGAAGTGTTACCTGATGATCCGGAGTCCTTTAAAAAGGATTTTGGTTAAATAAATTATTGTAATGGTACCTTAAAGTGGTCTGTTTTCATTAATTATATATATATATATATATATATATATATATATATATATATATATATATATATATATATATATATATATATATATATATATATGTATGTGTGTGTGTGTGTGTGTGTGTGTGTGCGTTGTGATATCTTCTCTCTAATGAGGTTATTGTGGACTCTTACACTTACTATAAACTTAGTAGAAAATCAAACCACAGGCAGACCAGTGATATATACTGAACGCTGGTCAACTGAGACACATTACCAAGTCGTATAACACATCTCTGTTGTATTTACAGTTCAATACACTATTCATCTATTTAACTATTTTTGTTATTTCATAATTACTTGGTAACCACTATATATATATATATATATATATATATATATATATATATATATATTAGCTCTATCTTTGATATTGAGCGCTTTCTAATATGTACCGCGCATATAATATATAAATAAATATACACATATATTTATATTTATATGCACACACTTTTCCAACACACACACACACACACACACACACACACACACACACACACACACACACACACACATATATATATATATATATATATATATATATATATATATATTATTTATTCGAAAATTATAACATAAATATGTTCTAAAATCACTACAAAAATAGCTATTTTGTTTCAACAAATTCTGGTGTCTTATCAAGTGATGGAGTTGAGTCAACCCCGTCACTTGATAAGCCACCAGAAGTGTTGAAACAAAATGGCTACTTTTGTAATCATTTTATATCATATTTATGTTATAATTTTCGATTAAATAATTATATTTGCTCTACTCTGTATTGAGCACTCTTTTAAGCATAGTATTTTTTGGTTATATTCAAATATTCGTACAGTAGATATTATCGTTTTAAATTGATTGATTCGTATAAGTAAAAGCAATTTACATAATTATTTGTATTCATCGGTGAAGAATTCTAGACTATTCAATAGAATATTGGTGATAATTCCAGCAAATAATTCCATGTTTCACAGGGTGTCACCATTTTTATTCTTATGTTAACCACATTAGACGTGAGATCAAGGACGCGCAGTGAGTTGTTCTCTTGGAGGATTTGAATTAGCCACAGTGATGTATGGTAAAATTTTTTCTAAGATAGTTAATAGAAAGTCGTCTTGTTTAAGAGGCGTTAAAATAAACAAGCCAAGCTAAAAACAGATTGTAGGTCATTTTCGAGATAAGCTACCAATTTGAATTCCTCAAACTGATCATACTTATTTTAAGACAAATCTAAATAGTTATGCCATCTGCATGTATACCGAGTTGTGTAGTTCGGGAAATAGAGAGTGTGTTCAAGAAAAGGACTTCGGGAGACGCTTGCATTAATGCAA